TATCACTGTAGATTTTTTGTCATTAAGAAAACTTAACTGTTTAAATCTGCGTACTAACTGGACGCGAAATTCAGTGCGAGGTTAAATAGGAAATACAGCGAATGTTGTTGTGTTATACTAATTTTGATGTTTGTGGCAAGAGATTGTACTGGCCTATTTTGTGCTCAAGCATAAAGTTTGCTAATGTGCAAAAAAAGAGAGGCAGATTATGAAGACATACACAGATGACAAATGACACTACTTAAGAACAATCAACTATTTATGCATGCATTATATCGTTTGTGGTACTAATCTACCTAAGAATAAAATATGGTTTTCTAATGCACATTTCAAACAGACTGAAGAAGAAGCTCAATCAGGGACTCTAGAAGTTTCAATAAACCTTCGCTGCAGAAAGTGCCGTAGATGTCTAAGAGACTCAAGAAGCTTCCTTAAGGTGGGTCAATTATGATCCAAAACTAATAATCTATGTCTTTAAAAGGTAAATGCAGTATATTACAAACTAGGAATGGTTAAATATCTTAATTTATGTAAAAGGAATGATAATCATCAGTAACATATTCTTACGTGACAATGCTTTATATTAATACAGGTAGTAACATCAAGGGAGGCTGCAGCCACATGCAGTGTTTGGCATTTGAATGTTGAATCTTTGCCAGATTGGATTTTTGCAAGTGTTCATCAGGTACAGAGTTTTCATTTCTTAATTTTTTTTAATTCATGCAATTTGGGCTGGTGACATCTGGAAGTGATCTATTCTGATAAAACGTGCATTTCTTGCAGGCCAATTGGACAGTGGGGAAATTAAACTGTCAGTACTGTGGAGCTCGCTTAGGAGGCTTTAATTTTGTAAATTGCTTCAAATGCTCCTGTGGACATGATACGGCTGTGCATCTCAGTAAGAGTCGTGTTGATCAGGATTTAAAACCTCCAGTTCTTTTGACAAGACTAGGAAGGACTAGAGAACATCCTGTGAGGAGGAAGAATGAGGTGGAGTCTCTCCCTCAGACAATAAGCTCATCCTCATCTCCTTCCTCAGCCCTCAACTTCTCCTGTACTGTGGCCCATGTAGCCTCTCCTGAAACTGAACTTGAGGTTGAGTCAAGTGAAGAACCACAGATTCTTGAGATTGTTGAGAGAGGCACAGATGTTTCTTTACCTTATGAATTGCCACCACAGCTGTCTGATTATCTGGAGAGCTTAGAGGAATGGCAAGTGCATTCTGCTTCCCAGAGCAGAACCTCTCTGGACAGAGCTGTGAATCCAGAGGAGGTCAGACTCAGAGGGATGGAAGAGCCATCAAGAAACATCTCACCCGACCTAGAACCAAAGCTTTCCAAGAGAGAGAAAAACCGCCTGAAAAACCTAAGAAGGAAGCAGAGGAAGAAGGAACGTTGGATTCAGAGACAGCAGGAGGCAAAAGATCTGGTGAGATGTTTTAAAGGGATAGTTCACATAAAAATTAAAATTCTGTCATTAATTACTCACCCTCGTGTCGTTCCAAACCCGTAAGACCTTCGTTCATCTTCGGAACACAAATTAAGATATTTTTGATGAAATGTGAGAGCTCTCAGACCCTGCATAGACTGCAACGCAACTCCATGTTGCGGAGCGGAAGTGGACGACTGTGGCATAATAAAAGCTCTGCTGCTTTCGATCGTGTGTCGTGCTCGTTCAGCGGCCTCATTTCGCTTCAACGGCTTTCAGCCTCACTCTGCTTAATTTTACTACATTAATAAATCATTAGCTCATCCATGAACATGATTTCTGCCTGAGTCCCATCGGATTGCATCAGCTGTGGGGATGAAGACGACAACTCCCATGATTCCACACTCAGTCACGGCATCATCTAACTACGCCTTTGCCTCTTTGTTTATTTTGAATACGCGCCCTCTAGCGGCGAAAATTACATATTGTGCCTTTAATAGTCCAAAATTAGTTTTCTGACAAAACAAAAATCATTTAGAATAATTATGGATATTTATTCCCTGATATGGATTTTTGTTCTGAGATTATTAGACATTTTAACACAAACTTTAGAAATTTAAAAACGGTATTCCAATTGTTTTAAACCAGGGCTGTCCAAACTCGGTCCTGGAGGGCCGGTGTCCTGGAGAGTTTAGCTCCAGCTTGCCTCAACACACCTGCCGGGAAGTTTCTAGTATGCATAGTAAGAGCTTGATTAGCTGGTTCAGGTGTGTTTGATTAGGGTTGGAGCTAAACTCTGCAGGACACCGGCCCTCCAGGACCGAGTTTGGGCACCCCTGTTTTAAACAGTGTCCAACAGTATTCTGTTTTTGGATAACTTTATAAAAGTAATGATCAACATTAAAGTTTGTGAGATTGCAATTCTAAACATAATGTCAACTACATAATTATTTGCAACCTTCTTTAATATGAACAAAAATGAATATATAAAATATATAACACATGGTTATGGGTAATATATAAAAATATATTATTAAAAATTACACTGACAGATGTTATATGAGTTTAATTTCAAGGGTCCATTCACATCAAGAAGGGTAAATAAATATAACAATAACTACTTTAGCGTCCATACTAATGCATTATAACATTCTGTTTATTATAAGAATAACATTCTGTATATTATAAATGCTGCAGTTATGCAGTTATATCCACATTTTTATCATTGATCAGTTCATCAGGGAAAATAAATGTTCTGAAAGTGATTCCAATGACATCATTCCTCTGTAACATCAATATAGCTGTGGTGTGAACTTCCCTATTCTTGTAGAATTAGAATTGTTATTAAAAATGTTGAAATATTGTTACATTTAAGAATTTGACAGATGATTTTATACAAAGTGACTTACATTGCATTCAGTGTATATATTTTATCAGTTCATGCGTTCGCTGGAAATTGAACCCATGACTTTGACATTGCTAGCTCCTCTACTGTTTGAGCTACAGAAAAATGATAGTTGTGGACCTTGGGGTGAATGGGCCTGTAAGCCCCCCCCCCCATCTGAATTACACTTCTGCATCTTGTTTGCTTCCTCAGTTCTGAATGCTACACAGCTCTAGTTTGTTTAATGTGTGAGGTGTTAGATAAGCAAGAAATCGATGTGAGCTATTAAGTGAGGAGCTGTATTGTACTGAAAAGAGTTCTGGCAAAGTACCAATAATAGATACGTGGATCAGAACAGGCATAAATGAGGATCTTAATAAGCCATTCACAGCTGCATGTGGCTCTTGCTGCAGGTGTCATTTTATTGTAGAATTTCATTCTTGTTTTGACAACCACTAGGCCACAACTTTTATATGAAGAATGATCTGAATGTCTTGTCTTTTTTTATTTTAAACATAATGTATCAGTTCTTCATTGATGTTTTATGCGTTGCTTCTATCTGTCAGGCTATGAAATGGGACCTAACAGGCAGCGATGATGAAGAGAGGGAGGGATACACATGTGCCGTGTGTTTAGACGTATATTACAGCCCTTACAAGTGCCATCCTTGCAGTCATGTGTTCTGTGAGCCCTGTTTGAGAACGCTGGCTAAGAACAGGCCAAGCAATACCCCGTGTCCCCTCTGTAGGACCCTCATATCCCATGTGCTCTTTCAGGAAGGTGAGTCAAACAGATAAACTCCATTTTTTTCATCTCATATTATTTGGAAGAACTTTGTTACCACCTGATGAACTGCTTGTTTCAGAGCTCAATCAAACTACAAAGACATGCTTCCCAAAAGGGTATCGGTCAAGACACGAAACCTTTCAGAAGACCAACTATTCCAAATGGCCCCTGCCCAACTGTCCAAAGCATTTCCGCATCTTTTGGGGTTTGTCATATGTCATTTGACACTAGGTGTTACAAAGTTTTAATTACAAGTTGCACATTTATTTTATTCTTTGCCATTTCAGGATTTCAGAGACACGGAGGACCTGCCAGTCGCTGGCAATTTCCCCACAGAGCATTTGGCCTGGATGCGTTGGATCTGGGGGACATGTGGGGCTGGCCATTTGACATTGACTTTGTGATCATCTCTATCTACTCTCTGCACTGGGTGATGGCGTTCATCATCTTTTGTGGCCTCTGCTACTTTCTCCTCCTCTGATGTATGGAGGATTAAATCTCACTTTGCTGTTGCTGGACAAAATGTTGTTGACAGTGGACATCTCATCAAGTGCCTCATACTTTTATTTCAATGTAGCTTCAAATATGATGAAATATTAAGGTGTTTTTCTTCCTGTGGGAATCATTTTTGTGTTTGTTTGTGGTTTAGGTCTTACAGGGTTTGTGCAATCCATAGATATCACGTTAAGCAATTACCTAAATATCATCTGCCTATTTGACCTGTAAACAGTATTATAATGCAGTAGAAAAGAGAAAAAGCAATAATTCAGGGTATAATGCTTAGTTCGTCTGTACACTTTAATAAGCTGCCTCTTTTTCAATTGCTATTACATGGAGCGTTTAGATGCTTGTCTGATGCTAGAACCCAGGTTTCTCCCACTAAAAACAATCTGTTGTACAGTGGATTTAATGGCTTCTTTTACACAGTAAAATGTTTGAGAAAAATTTGTTGTGTCAATTCATTCTCCTTGAATGAGATTTAATTAGTTGGCTTTGGCAATAGCCTAGAATGCCAAATACAGTTTGGGTAAGTATTTTTGTTCAAATTAATCCTAAGGGAGAACACCCAGCAAACAGTTCTAGAACGTTTTGAAACCAACTCCAAGCGTTTTAGAAACATTCTTTTGGGGGGTTTTAACCAATAACTAACGTTCCCAGTAAGTAAGTTTCTGTGTGACAATCTGACTACATAATGTTTTCTAATGACTGTCTTTAAAGTTTTTTTAACCGTTTCAAAAAGATATTTGATTTACAGCATTTGTTTGACTAACAATACATATATTAAGCAGATACAGTATGTTTAAGACGGCGCTTACAAATAAAATCGTGAATATTTATTTTTCCTCGCACTAAGCAATTGTGTTTCTTCGACGAACCCGTCTTTTCAGGGATCGTGAAGCCCGCAGCTGTGGCGTTCCAGCGGCGCTTGGCCCTCGACAGGGTGAAGGTGATTCGCCTGATGGTGCGGGAGATGCAGAGGAAGCGTCGCGGACACTCGCTCGGCTCCGTCACATCACTCTAATCATCGAAACACTCCGCATCCAAGGCTCGACCTCACCCCTCTCATCGAGGACAGACGGATTAAAGACATTTTCTCAGTGAGGTGGTTTTATTCGTGGATGCGTATGCATGTGTTCTGCACCGAACGGGCGAAAGAACCGCCCCAGATCCGCAGCCAACATTTTTCAAATCGGCAAGACTTCGGTGAGGGATGCATCCAGTGGGGACATAATTACGGATTATAATGACTTATACTGTCTTTTTACGTGTTGCGTATCGCGCTGCGTAAAATAAAACCATGTCTGTATTTGTGATCGGAGAAACAACAAACAACAAGCCTATTCTACACTGCTCAAAACTCGCGTTTTAATCATCATTGGCAAATTATTTAAATATAAAAAACTTACTTACAGGCTGTGAGTCAGAAGCACCAGACTGTCCTTGCAAAGTTTGAACTGCCCAACTTTATAGAAACAGCCTTTGTGCCACAGACGCATTAGGCTACTGGTTCAGGAAACAGTCCTCATCCTCCATAAAATGCGCAGCACACATCTGAATATTTGGGTTGAACTGTTCTGGAACAGTGTTGTAAATACAACTTAACTACTGGTTTCTAGTTGTGTCCTCTTTTGGAAGGCCAAACAAAGTAGTTTCGCTTTCACAACGAAACACACAGTGACTCCACAACATGGAGGTGGCGGCAACAGCGAGAATAAAAGTTACACCTTCTTTCTTTGCGTGAACATTTGGGCGGTGTTATGCAAATCTTCCCACATTGTGATGTAGACATGTGGGGGCGTGTTAGAACGAGCCATTTTAGGAGGGTGTGGTTGACTCTTAACTTTTATAAAGTATATCGCTTTGTATTTGAGACTTTAGTCTTTGCAACTTTACAGATCTTCTTTATGCACCAAGAGCTTGTAACACTCCAAAGAGAAAGGATAAATTGAAATCGCATCATATGACCCCTTTTAGCAGCACAAATACTATACTATGTACTATAAATCCCGTTTGCTGTAATCTCAATTGACATTCTATGTTGTGCAATTTCTTCCAGTGATATGCGAGAAATGAGAAACCTTTTAAGCAAACTCAGGGAGACAATGCCTTTGCCACTGAAAAATCAAGGTGCATTTCAAACTTTTTTAGGAATTTTTTCTGATATAATAAGAGAGTTTTTATACCTTCCAGTAATATGATCATATAGCTAGAAATGTGTTTATTTTTAATGCTGCTCTTTCGTGTGTGTAGATGACAGCAGTCTGCTAAATCTGACTCCTTATCCGCTGGTGAGGCAGAGGAAGAGGCGATTCTCCGGGCTTTGTTGCCTTGTGTCTGGCTGAACTTTCAATACTCTCAGTCTCAAGTCGTCTTTTCTGATCATTGATCAATTTACGCTTCACTCGTCTCCTTCGTGTCTCTGGAACGGTTTTGCTAATGTAACTTGTCCTTGGACTGTGTCAAAACTACATAATCCCTTGTTGGAGGACAGAATCCCCTTGACTCAAAACCCTGCCTATTGAGTTTTTAAGCAAAATCAATTGTCTATTTTTAGTTTCCAAGAGAGGTTCATTCTTTGTCATGTGCTGTGAAACCATATGATTGTACAAAAAAGCAAGAGAATGAAGTAAAATGGCATCTGTCTCTGATTTTCATAGTCATAGAGTTTGTTGTCAGTGAAAGGGCACGTTTAGTTATAGGATTGCTGTATTTCATCTTCTTGCTTCTTGTTTTTTTCTTCTATATAAATTTAGTCACTGTGCAATGCTTTTAATTTAGTCTTCCATAAAGGGGAAATGTTGTAAATATTATATTAGTCATTTTAAGGGCACAAGAGCGCTCGGCACTAAAGCCATTGCTATTTAATTTTAAGCTTGAAACAAATATAACAATAAAATTCACTATGTATATAATACATATAATTGTAAATAAAACATTGTATTTATTATAATTGATTTTAAAGATTTATTTTTCATTTATCCATTCAAGACATCAGGTTTGTGTGAATGCATATCACAGTTAAATGAGAGTTTGCAGCATGATTTCATGTCGGGTGTCTATAAAGTATGCATAGTTACAGCTCATATAAGCTATATGTCATTTTATAATGATAATAAAGTTGTTGTTTTTTTATTGTAATTGTTTGTTTTATTGTAGCCTACAGTAATTCGTATTCAGTTGTTTGCCTTTAAAAGTAACCCTTAAAAATCTTAAGAAATTGATACATGTTTAAAATAAAGACCAAAAAAATAAGATAAAGTGCAAAAGACACCTCTATTTTGGCATGAAGAAAGGCAATAACTTTCTTCTGTAATAACATGTTATCCACATACTCCCTGTCCACATTCCCATGGTCTAAAGCAGGAGTCAAATGTCAAAGTGAAGAGTTCCAGCTGCAGGGGTTTAGTGGCAGCTAAGGGGGATGGACAAATTCTGTTGCGAGAGAATGCTGGAAGACAATTCATCCAGGTCAGAATAAGAGTTACTATTTCAGAGCAGCTTATTGTGCATCTGTCTTGCTGATTTTGGACACAGAGACTAAAATTACACATGATAGTGTGCTTACATGCTTTCGGAGGCGTATGACATTTATGTATTGTTCATCAAGCTCAGGTATTATTAGGTTTCTGCAGCTCTTCTCAAGAAACGGTCTGTGGTAAGGTCTTGATTTATTTAAATGATTTAATTCAAATTCAATTTATGAATATCTTTATTTTTCAGCTTAGTTTTTATGTTTAGTACCACAATGGATATTAATATTTTATATTTAATCAGTATTTCTTATTTGTACATAGCTTTCTTTGTTTACCAGTTTTTCATACTTTTGAGTGCTTTTACTCAATATTTTAAAACTGATGCATATACTTGCATATAACCCACTTCTTTCTACTTTCCCTTAAGCTATCAAGTTCCAACAGGCCTTATTCTCTATGGATTGTGCTACCATTCCCCTTGTCCTACTCTGCAGCCTGGCTTCATTTACCCCCATTATGGGATGTTTTTGTGACCATTACCCATGGAGTTTGTGGTCCTATTGCACCAAAACCTGTAGCTCTGGCACACAAACACGTACAAGGTAACCTTTATTTAACATATATCTGATGTGAAAAGTCCATTATTGTAATATGTACATTTGTTGTTACAGGGCTGTACGCTATGATGAGCACTGGAAAAAAACAATTGTTTCCATCTGTGTCAGACACATGAGACTAGAGCGTGTAATGTTGAGGCCTGTACCATAAACTGTCAGCTGACTGAGTTTGGATCCTGGTCAGAGTGCTCGCCGTGTGCCAAAAAAATCTGTGAGTAAAGCACACAGGTATTAAAATTAAGAGATTTATACAAAAGTTAGTTTGGGTCATTAAATCTGATTGGCTTACCAGTGTTTCAAGAGATATGAGATATATGCTGTTATAGCAAGCAGCACAATAGCGTTGGGACTCTTCACTGTTTGTCCATATCTTTGCATTCCTGACAGACTGTTAGTCTGTGCATTAAAGATATATTCAACCAAAAATGAAAATTTGCTAAATATTTACTCACTGGCGGCATACACTTAAAGATACAGTGCTTGTTATGCTTCCCCTTTAAGAATGTTTTGTTGCCTGTGGTGGGGTGTTTACCGTTTGGCTAGTTCAGTAAAGCGTTTTCATCCAATTTTGATGTAGTCTGTGTTCATTTAATCGCACAAACACCTAGCTCACCCTCAGGTCATCTAAGTAGAAGAGTTTGTTTCTTCATTGCAACAGATCTGAGAAATTTTGTATTACATCCACCAATGGATCCTCTGCAGTGAATGGGTTAACTGCTGCATAAAAGCAATATCACGATTGCAACTATGCAGTTTTTTTCAGAATATAGCCTTGTTCTAATATCGTGCTAATATTCGGCAATGACAACATTCTTGCTAGTGTGAAATTGCTTAAATATAGTACACTGTCCTTGTAAGTGTGTGAATCTTGTGTGATTTAGTTCAGAACCAGGTCTGTTTTGAAGCCAGCTCAGTTTGGGGGGGGAAGAGTGTAGTCCATCTCTTATGGAGGAAAGAGCCTGTCATCCCTCCAAGGAATGTGGGATTGAGCCTGTCAACTGTAAAGACAAGTTCACCTGTGACAGTGGTAATTATCTTCATCGACTTCTTCACAACAGCACAGAATATTTGCACCTTATGTTTAAGAATAGACCTATATAATCTATTGATTTTATAATTGAGCAAATAGGCCTAAGTACACTTTATAAAGCTGTGCTTTAGAAAACAGGTGCATGATCACCACCATGCTTTATTGCCACCAACTTGCTAGGAAGATGTGTAAACGCTACTCTGCAGTGCAACAAGCAGAACGACTGTGGGGACAACTCTGACGAGAGAGACTGTGGGCAAACAAAAAGCGTGTGTGCAAGTGAAAGGATATTTGCTTTCATTCCTGGAGCAGACCTGATTGGTTATGGGTGAGTTACAGATAAAGATCATTTGGGTTTCTTAGACTGCATACATGACATGTTAAACTTTCAGGGTATTGTCATGTTGTCAGCAAAACAATTTTGAAAATCTGAGATTGTGCTTGTCTTGAAACTGATAAAGATTATTTTTAAAATTAGATTTGATCAAGCAGAACGACTGTGGGGACAACTCTGACGAGAGAGACTGTGGGCAAACAAAAAGCGTGTGTGCAAGTGAAAGGAAATTTCTTTCATTCCTGGAGCAGACCTGATTGGTTATGGGTGAGTTACAGATAAAGATCATTTGGGTTTCTTAGACTGCATACATGACATGTTAAACTTTCAGGGTATTGTCATGTTGTCAGCAAAACAATTTTGAAAATCTGAGATTGTGCTTGTCTTGAAACTGATAAAGATTATTTTTAAAATTAGATTTGATGCTGCAGCAGAGCAGATGAGAAGGCGCTGTTCTGGACAACTCATTCATGGGGGGTGAATGCATTCCACAAAGACACAGGAAAAACTACTACAGAATCCCTGCCAACATTGAGAGATATGAAATCAAGGTGGGAAAAATCTAATTTCTGCCTTTCTGTCTGTTTCTGCTTGTAGTACTTTACTTGTCATACTTTGTTAGCTGGAGTAAAAAGATATCCAAATTACGCCATATATTTTGGCACCATACAGGTAGGCTATACTTATTTATTTGTTTGTTTAAAATATATGAGCTAATATTCAATATTTGATTTCTGACAGTTTAAATGTGTAAGATGTACCAAAATCTTTATTAATGTTATTTTTAGATGATTGCTAAAGGAATCTCTTATATTGTACATTATCATTTTATAATGCTGATGTATAGTTATTCCTTTTCAAATAATTTAAAAAATAACATTATTAAAGGTTTTTGTAATGAATTTCTCCCAAATTTAAAATTGGGAGAAATATAAAAAGCCTATAAAATCGATGTATAGTCAGTATTGACCAGGATTTCAATATCAGTGCATCTCTAAAATATCAAATCAGATGAGCAGCTATTTATTGTTTGATCCTAAAACCAGTCACACAAAAACACATGAAATTGATTAATGATTGAATTTGTACATTTTACTTGATTTGATTTCATTCCAGGTAGAAAATCTTGAGGATATTCAAGAGCAAGCAATCAAACCCCAAAAAGTCAACTTGGCCAAAGAATCAAGTCATTTTTTCAAACAGGCAGTGAAAGCATCTCAACAAAAGGCAAGAGATCTCAAACGCCAAACTATATGATGCTCTATTGTTATTTGGCCTTTATTCAGGTCTCTTTTTGTCATTTTTGTGCAGGACTCTGAGTTTTTCAGGGTGCATCAGGTTGTTGCCACATCAACATTCAGAACGAAACCCTCTGACCTCTACTTATCAGATCAGTTCCTTCAGTTTCTGAACAGTCTGCCACTGGAATACAACTATGCCCTTTACAGACAGATCTTCCAGCTGTTTGGGACACATTATTTCAGCTCTGGCACATTAGGGGGGAAGTATGACCTCCTTTTCCAATATGATCGAGAAGAACTGAAAACCTACGGTAAGCAGACATTATCATCTAATTGTAAGAAACTGTTTTGGCACAACATTAGAGAACATGGTCATGTGGAGCTCATGTGACTTTATTAGCTTTCTCTCATTTCTAAAATGCAATGAAACTGTTCTCTCAAATCAGTTGTATCTCCTTAAATTTCCCAGGACTGACAGAAGGGGAAATGAATAGCTGCTTCAGGCAGGATTCCACCATCATCATATAACAGAATATCATATAGTTCCACATGTGGGAAAACTAAATTAAAAACCAAATATGAAGGTAATAGATGCACAAATGTACTATTTAATTTACATAAGGCTTGTGTTTTAAGTTATGTAAACCCAGTTTGAAATGCACTTGTCCACTTCAGGGTCAATTGTGAAAGCAGCGGAGAAGTGTATCACATCGGTGCAAGGAGGTAGAGCTGAATATACAGCAGCCCTGGCCTGGGAGAGGAGGGGTGTATTGCCAAACAGCACTACATACCAAAACTGGATCAAATCTACAATAGACAATCCAACTGTTATAGAATTTGAGGTTAGGAAGAGAAACCTGTCAAACATTTGGGGGTACAAAATACCCTTTTATTCAAAAGAATTGCAAATGAACATGAAATGAATAGGTACTATAATTCACTATCAGATTAATATTCACTTGTCAATGTCTTATCTAGCTTTTGCCTTTAGTGAATTTGGTGCGTGGCTTCTCTTGTGCTCTGACAAAGAGACGGCATCTTCATAGGGCGCTGGAAGAGTACCAGACCGAATTTGATTCCTGCAAATGTGCCCCCTGCCCAAACAATGCTCGGCCTGCTCTTTCTGGAACAGAGTGCATTTGTATTTGCCAGACCGGGACCTATGGACCAAACTGCGAGAAACGAGC